AAAAATATGATGCTAATTGTATAGTTTCTTTTCAATAATATATAATAGAAAATAGAAAATAGTTCTGTTTTAGAATAGAGTAACGTATAACCAAAAATACTGAAAAGCATTTGTATAACATTTATCTGATTCTTTGCATTTTAATATTCTTTACAAGTGGTTTATACAATGTTTAACATCTTATATTTTATTTATTTATTTTCTTTTATAAAGCGCCCATTACACTGCATCGCACGATGTCATCGTGGGATGTTTTCGCTTGCCATTACACACAATTTTTCAACAATTTTTTAAACATCGCCCCAGATAAAACAACAAATATACTCAAAAATAAAATCATACATGCTATTAAACGATGTTTTCGCTTTCCCCCCTTTATGCGCGTATAAACACATAAGAATTTTTTTTCGCACTTTTTTATGAAATGCGAAATTTGTTTGTGCAATAGAAACATTTGAAATTTTAAGAAATGCCATGACGAAAATCAAAATATTTTGATATTTCTTCAGACACGATCGTGTTTTTGCGTATACATTCGGATTTTGTCGGCATGCAAAATTTCATTTATTTTGAGAAATGGAAGCGTAAACATCATTTAAATGCACGCATGATTTATTGTTAGCAGACGATGCAAATATGAATGAAATGTATTTTTTATTTTAAATATTTGTATTTTCTACCTAGGTAAAATTTTTTAATTTCCAAAACATGTTATTAAGAAGAATTAAAATAACAAAAATATATAAATGACCAAACATTAAATTACAATGAATATTTTATTTTAAATCTTAATTGCATTGTGCACTTACGGAAAATTTGTTATTAAAATACATGAAAAAAAAACATTTAAAATATTAAATAAAATATAATATATATAAAAATAAATATATTAATTAAAATTATAAAAATAAATATATAAATTCAACTATAAAACGTCATTTTTCGTTGCGAAATCACGCATAGCTACCGCTGTTGACTCTTCAGGGATTGCTTTAATACTGATCACTGAACAATGTTGGCATTGTTTGCTGGAGGCGATGTTTAAAAAATTGTCGAAAAATTCAATGTGTAATGGCAAGTGAAAACCTCGCGCGATGGCATCGGGCGATGCCGTGTAATGGGCACTTAAGTCATAAAGGGTGATTAATAAGGGTGACAAATGAGTAGTTTTTAATCGTCATAGTCACAATCAATTACTACTTCGAATTAAGCGATCATTGGTGCTGTAAATTTTGCTTTTGGACTCAAGCAGTCATTCACTTAAAAATTTGAATCATTTGCTTGCTATTCACATTCAATTCACTGCCCTTGTGTACAAATATTTTCCAAATGCGACATGAAGAACCGAGTTATTTAGCAAATTGGTTTTTGTATAAATGTTTTCATGCTTTTAATTAAATGGATACTAGTTCTTTCTAACAACTAAAATCAGAAAGCCTTGAGAAGTTAATAATATTTTCTACAAATACTTGATTGTTAGCATCTTCTTTATTATTTTAATAATACCCTGTATAATTTTTTTTTTGGTACAAAATTTTCTGTGAATGTCCCAACTGATTGATTTACTTCACTTAATTACGTAGCTGTGATAAAGTAATTGTAACAAATTTATATGCAACACAATGTCTATCTGTGAAAGGATATGCGTAATCCCACATAAAAAATGTTACGCATATAAAATGTAATTAATGAAACACAAAGTAAAATAAATATTAACTGCAAATTACGATTCATTGCCGCTTTGTGAATGTAGCATTAATTCAAAAAAAAAACGCCTAAAAGCAAACTATACAATTTTGATTAATCGCGACTCAGTACAACGAAAACTATTGTAGCAAAATATTTAAAGAAGCGGTCAATAAAAACAAAAACATAAATAGGGATAAATTTTCTCAAACCTTTTACTCATTCACATGCTCTCTCAAGCATTCGCCTTCTGCCCTCCGCGCTAAATTCTAAATTCACAAGCCCACAGCTTGTGAAAAACAACAAAGAAACGGGAGGAAATTTTCTTAAACTCGTTTTTTTCCTTATTGGAGTGTTTCCTACAGGAATGTAAGTATGTGCGTCCGCTTCGTCGTTTGGGACAAAATAGTTTTAAAAGTGGGCGTACACGTTTTGTACTGTGACAGGAATTTGCTTATGTACTAGAAAAAGAATTAGCCACTCCTACAATGGATCCTTTCAAATATAAGATGTTTATTTTTAAGCCGTTTTCTTTCTATTGCAAAAGGAGGTTATGCATGACTTTTTTGATGAGAGGGAATTGTAAAATATTTCTGTCGGGGTAAGGAAGTGTTGCAGTTATTTTATTTTTTATTTTTAAAAATTTTCCATGAAGTATTTGAAAGATGTTTCAATAGCTTTGACTATGTTGGGAAGAACTCATAATCTTAATTATAACAACTAATTTTATAAAAATATTTTCAAATTTATAGTTCCTAAATGAATGATGAATTCAGCTTTATTTTTTTTAATTAATTATTATTGAATAAAGTATTCGTGTTGCTGTAAAGCTAGACTTTCTTTGTATGGTGACAAAGAAGCTTTATTAAAATTTAGAGGGGTTTTGAATAGCAAAGAAAGAAATAAAGGACAAACACAAAAATTTATTTTAATTTTATTAAAGTTTCGCTGACAAATAAAATTAAAATAAATTTTTGTGTTTGTCCTTTATTTCTTTCTTTGCTATTCAAAACCCCTCTAAATTAATTATTATTTTATGGCATCTATGGATTAAACATTCTAACAATAATCTGAACCAATTTTCGCATAAGTATAGAATAAAGCTTATTTTACATATATTCGTCGAGATTGAAAAGTATTCTATAGGTGCAAAGGTCCAGAACAACATGGAATTTCTGTGTTTTTGTTGTTATTCTTATAAATTTTTTTCAAACTAAATTTTAAGTCACTCTTTGAATCTCCCGAGAGTAGAAGGCTTCCAAAGCGATGCTTAATAGCTTAAAGAGGGAATTTTTAAAGTGTAGTTTATGTAGTTTCTTGAAAGAACAAAATATTGTAAACATTTTAATAAAATAAGACCATTTGATCATAATTTGACCTTTCCAGCTTAATAAATCGTTTGTATTTATGTGAATAGAGTTGACGCCCCTGTATGCTTAAATGAATTCTATACTCACATATCTGCAAAAATCGTTTTTAATTACAAATTCGCGATATACATCCGGATGTACCGCACTTATTGAAAAGCTTTACATCTTTAGTATATCCGCACTTTAAATAAGTGAGAATTTTTGTAGCGTTTACCCCAATTCTTCGTTTTACTACAAGACCGATAAATTGAAGATGTAAATTATCTATTAAAGAAAGAATATGCAGCGGAAACAAGAGTTGTGGTAGAACTACCATCTACATGAGAACCAGTGCGCTTAACCTTCTTCTTACTCTTCACATCACCATCCTTTACTTTATTATGAATACTTTAATTTTGTAATTGAACAAAATGTGTTACTTTTACTTCTTCTACTTAACTGACAAACAAACTAAGCAAACTAAAGAATAAAGAAGTGTCAATGAAAATCATATATGTTCAATTGAATAAACTAAATACTGACTATGAGCACAGATGCATCTTTTTTCAAATAAACCAAATTTGTCAAATACTTTTCTCAAAGTAATATTTTTTTCGATTATACTGTTACCATAGGTTGGTTCTTAAGGAGAAAATTAATGAAGGCCCCTTTCTTTCGCATCTAGACATTTTTCTTTAATAACTTCTCAAGGGTTTGTGTATTGAAATACTATTCCTTTTTTCTTAAACTGAACTGAAAGTCTGCTATCACTTTTTCAACTCATACCAATGGGCACATGTTGAAAATATTTTCGCTTAAATTTCTTAATTAAAACATTCTTAAAACAATTAAAAATAACCACTTCCAAGCACTCCAGAAGCTAAAATTTCTCACAAAAGCTATGAATAAAATGTAATCCGTCGCTCCTGCTTACATTGACAAATGAAATTCCCGCTTTGAAGTTTGTAATTTGTTCACTGAATTACAAGGTGGAAAGGATAACACAACCCACCCAGAACTCAACCGAAGGGATACATTTGATTTTTGAGAAATCCGTGGTTATAATTAAAATTTGCTCTTCAAAGCATTCCAACAAATTATTGCATTTTACTTACAAAAATTGTCAAGATAATTAGAAAGGCAAATATACGAAGATGCAGCTGAGAATCCTTAAAATTTATAAACGAAAATTTGAGATAAAAACAAAAAATGTTTCTAAAATTTATATTAATTAATGCGGCAAGTAGAATTAAACCAATTGCATCATCGTTTACGACTTAATAGAGATTTGATTGGAGTTAATATATTGTTATCTTATAAGATAAAAGATTATAAAGATTATAAGATATAATTATATTATATAATTAAATGAAGTATAAACTAATATAATTTATTTATTAAGTAGTGTTTAAATGTATTTATAAAATATATGAAAGCTAAATATTAAATTTATTCGGTCGTCTACTGATAATTTTTAATTATTGTAATTTGATTTTATTATTCGGATGATTAACCTTCTCCACGGTCTCAACAGTTTTAAACGCTCGTAGTTCTTCATGTTATAAGCGATTATAATATTATGAAATTTTCTCTGTAAACGACTCTACTTTTCTGAATTTATTAATTCTGTTTATTTTACATAAGTTATCCACTATTTTATTTCATTTCATTCTCTCTCGTGTATGTGGAGAATTTACTCACTAGTTGATCAAACTGCTTAGTACTCTCCCATTATGTTTTATTTCATTTCATTTTTCATCGTGCATGTGGAGAATTTACTCACTTCACTCACTAGTTGATTAAACTGCTTAGTACTCTCCCATTATGTTTTTTTACATTATTCTTTCATCAATATCATCGGTTATTTATGGTAAGAATATCGAATACAGTATTTGCAATAACAGATTACTGATTACTTATTGATGATAGGTATGTAATCACTCCATAGCTCTATTTGGTGACAACCTCATGGACTAAGTCACGTTCAGAACCATATACTGCTGCCAATTCTTGACATTTTTGATATTCACTAATTAAATCATTCAGATTACTTCTGGCCTCAATAAAATCTAACTGTTCCATGCCCTCTCCCATGTACCAATGTAAAAATGCTTTCCGTTTAAACATAGCACTAAAATGTGCTTTTATTTGATTAAATGTTTCATGGACGGATGTAGAGTTTGCCAGAAACGTTGCAGAGAATTCTTCACCTCTGCGTGGTATATCACATACATCCGTTTTGCAATAATTGGGTATCCAATCGGCAAATTGAAACATTTTCATCTTTTGCACATTTAACATTTCGTCATCGATTTCCTTTAATGAAACACGACCACGAAATATAGCGGCAATACTCAAATAATGTCCATATCTAAGGTCACAAGTAGTCAACATATTTTTTGGTTCAAACATTTCTCTTATTATATTTGATACAGTGTGGATATTTTCTGTGGTAGTGGCAGGCGTTATTGCAATATGTCCAGGTATTAGAAAGTGAAGACGTGGAAATGGTACCATGTTCACAGCAAGTTTTCTTAGATCTATGCTCATTTTTCCCGGAAATCGTAGGCATGTCGTGACATCAGCCATTGTGGATGAGATCAACTCATTTAAATCCAAATACATCAGTGAATCAGTATGTTTGGACTGCTGGCACATATTATATAAAGCATCATTATCAATGCAAATTGTTTGGTCGGTATTACCAATCATATGACTTATTCCCAAAGCACAATTATATGGTTGTACCACAATGTCTGATGCTTTGTTTCCCGAAAAGACAGAGAAGTTTAGTAAGAGAAGTCTGGGGTATTCATCGCGTAATTTAGATATTAGCAAAGTACCAAAACCAGAACCAGTACCACCGCCTAACGAGTGAACGAGTTGACAACCCTAAAAACGTATTATCTTAATTACTTTCAAATGTGAACAATATTAAAAAAATTGAATAGAATAGAGGTAGGTCCTAAAAATTTATGAACTTATTTACCATCTGAACATCACTTAATTGGTGATTAATAATTATAAAAGTCTAGGAGATATATAAATCTAGGAGTTCTATGACTTCAAAAGCTTGTATTTCCAATTTTATATTTACCTGTGGACAATCACAGTCTTCCATTTCTTTTCTTATTACCTCGAACACAGATTCTAACAACATCATCCCATCAGAATAGTGACCCTTGGCCCAATTGTTACCTGCACTACCTTGACCACTAATAAAATTATCGGGCCGATAAAGTTTGCCATACTCACTGGAACGTACTGAATTCAGAGTGCTTGGCTGCAGATCTACAAACACCGCACGAGGCACATAGTTTGCGCTGGGGCCCTGCGTGTAATACACATTAACACGCTCCAACTGAAGGTCCTTATTACCACAGTACACCCCATTCGGATCAATACCGTGCTCTTGTGAAATCTCTTGCCAAAACTTAGAACCTATTTGATTGCCACATTGGCCGACTTGCAAGTGAACTATTTCACGCATCTTGAAACCGCTTACGAATAATTTCACAAAGAATTTTGCGCTTTAAAATTTATATAGAAACAATCACTAAAAATTTTTTTAAAAAAACCAAAAATATAAATTGAGAATTTTGCACCATCTAAAAAATAAGAATCAAAATTATGAAAAACTAAAATTATTTTTAACATCACAAAAATTCCGACTTACTCCGATCGAATACCAAATAAAAAATACAACAACATAAATGCAAGTTAAAAATTTTAAATTTGTTAAAAAAATGTGAAAATTTGTTTCGTTTTCAAAAATGTCAAACTAAAATATTATAAAATTCTTTAAAATTTGTTCTCGGAATTTGTTCTCCGTCTTGTCCTTCATATTTTGTGTACAAAAATCGAAACACATTTTTAAAAAACAACAAAATGTTCCGAAACAGTTACCAGAAAGGCTTCCTCACCGTTTTCTACAGCTTGGGCAGTAGTCCATTGAAGGATTGGGGTGTTCACGTGAGTATAAAAATTATTTTTTCAAATTAGCTTCTTCAATAAGTTCATTTTGCTCAGACATATAAGACATATAAGATAAATAGATTATTTGATGTTTAAGATATAATAAAATTACTGACGTCTCTAATGAGGACGGAATACAGGATAGATTTCTGTTGATAATAAAAGCTTCAGATAAAACAAACAACACAACATATGTAAGTGGATTGCGAAAACATCGCCAAAAAATTTTTTCTAATATATCCGCCCTCCTGTTTCCTTGTCTTGAGTTGGATGTATTCTTGCTTCGCATTATAGTCGCTAAAGGTTTTTAGCCTACTCTTTCTCTTGGGAAATTTTTCCTTTTTCATTTTAGTTGCAGATGTCTATTCTATATATCAATGTCTGTCCCTATATAAATATATACATCTATTCACCCCTTGTATGCTCTTCAGTTGCTCTTCTTGTTTATAAATTGTGGGGGAAAATTTTGCTCAGTGGGCTGTTGTTTTCTAGCATTCTCATAATATTATCCGCTCATTTTAACCTCTACTTCTCTTTGTATTTAATTATGGCTCCTCCATTCTACATTCATGCATCAACTATTGCAGCTTTTTGTAGTAGATTCTCTTATATATCCATTTATTTTTTTCGGCAGACTTTTGAGTCATATATCCAGATATTAATGCACACAAGAACGGGATTGCTATTAATAGTTTAAAAAACTTCGAATACATAATTGCTTTTGCGTACAGATTTTATATATGAAATGGAATTGTATGATTCTTCTATTGTATGACTGTTTCCGATAATAATTCCAGTATCAGCTGCAAATGTTAGTAATGCATTAAATGCATTTCCTGTTAAAGAAAAGAAGAAAATCATAAATTATTTCCTTAAAATCTATCCTCTTTCAACGTATAAGACCTTCAAATACTATAAATAACTATGCATTTTTTCCATTTGATTCAAATCTCAATTGTTTATAGACCAAGAATGGTTATTGCAAGCGAATTATAGATGAAGATATAAGTTCTATGGTTTTTGAAATAATGGGGAATAATGTCTCCACTATGTTTATGACAATTCCACGTGAACCGAGGCAAACTCTTGGTATTAAGCTACCCTTCCTTGTGCTGCTTATTAAAAATATGTTTAAATACTTCACCTTTGAAATCAAGGTAAGTGAAAATTTACCCTTTAGTTGTACTACCCTTTAGCTTCCATTTCATCATTCCATTATTGCAGATTATTGATGATCAAAATTTTGGCAGGCGCTTTCGTGTTTCCAACTTTCAGAGCAAGACATCAGTGAAACCGTTTAGCACCTCTATGCCCATGGCTCTTTCACCTGGCTGGAATCAAATACACTTCAATTTGGCAGATTTTACCCGCCGTGCATATGGTACCAATTACATGGAAACTGTTTCTTTACAGGTTCATGCAAATATACGCATACGTCGTATTTATTTCACTGATCGCCTGTACAACGAACAAGACTTACCACTGGAGTACCAGTTGATGCCGAAGCGTGCGATGGTCAAAAAATTGGGTAAACATTTCAATGTACCATCTGCACGTCCACCATCTCCAAAGACTGATCGCTCTGAAGCAACTGACCCCAATTAATGTACGAAAATGTACTGAATTTGTATTTTATTGCCTTTACTTGGAACTTTTATCAATCTTTAAGCAGATATATTTTAAATCCTGTAAAAATGTCCTTTTAATAAATTTATTTCAATAAAAATATTTCGTTCTAAAAATTTTTGATATTTTTTAACAAAACTTTGAAAGGGATATGAGATCTAAAGAGAAACAAAGAACAATCACCAATAACTTTAATATATATCAAGATCTCGATCCCCCTAAAGTATACATCTAAATAGATATCAAGTTTGCTAAGTTTCAACACGGAATTGCTTACCTAATTTTGGATATTACAAACATCTTATTTGTTTTATATCCACGTACTTAGTAACTCCGTCAATAGCGCAGATAGTAGAATGCCATATGCGACTAAATACTAACAGATTGTTAACGTAATATTTTGTTGAGCTTTGTAAAGAAATTGGGATCATACAAGGACTTACAAAAAATTGTACATAAATTAGGATATGGCTTGGTAATGGAAGTGTGTAAGGGAAGAGGACTGTTTGGGAGTGGTTTGAGAATATGTGAGATTTTAATTGTTAACGTCAATTAAGGATTGAGGTGCAGAAACCTAATCACTTCAATGGAACGGAGCCAAAAATCAATTAGATCCAAGTTGGTGTGTTCAATTATACATGAAAATAGATTGACAACATCATTTAGGGTTTGATATGGAAGAATCGAACCCTTCATAGTATATGATAATCTCCAATCCATTTATTGGGTACCTAACTTGCATTGCTTTAAAGGATTTGCTCTTATTTCAGTTTTTGAAAAGCGTATTTTTTAGTATCTGCAAAGATCATAAAACAATGGTTTAGGTTTTATCTTCACGTTGCAGCCGACAGTGAGGCAAAATGAATTGGTGTTAACTGCCTCGTTGAACTAAAATGACTGATAATTCATCAACCGTTTGTAAGAACGGTTGATCTATCCTATTCTATGATAGAAGTTACATTCTAAAAATTGCTGATTTAACATTAAAACTCAGATGCTCGAATAGACAATTGAAGATTATCGTATTTACTGGTACAAAATTTAAAACAACCATCAAGAAAGGAATTTTATTAATTCTTTTAACCACAAATAGTCATCTTTCCTTAGCAGCTTATAACAGACATTAGAAAGGAATACCGACCTGGATGCGTACACATATCCTGCTGTCTGAATATAATAGGATTTTATACTTGACCTTTGGCTTGAAGGGATTTAGATTCCATATTATATTTAAAAGGGAAATAAGAGAAATAATACTGGAACAGAAGCTATTAATTCTGTCGGCAAACAGAATCTTTTTTGTTTAGCTGGTTAAGGTTAACAGAACATATTCGTGGTTGGAGATTTTTAAAAAACCCGTTAATGTTGTATTGCTCTGTTCAATTTAAGTAATTTTTTCAATTAAATTATAATTATTGATGCTACAGTGGCTAATTACAGTCTTTCTCTACCTCTTAAACATTTAGAAATCTTATTAATATTTTTTGATTTCTCTACTTAGTCATCAATTATCAAAGAATTAAACTTTCTTATTCTGCAATTTAAAATGAATATTTTAACATTTGTACATTTACTGATAAATCTTAAATATTTCTTTTATAACTTTGCAAATATTGTATTTAAAAACTGAAACAGATTTGCAGTTATTGTCGCAACTCAAACACCGCAGAATGCCCTTTTCCGTTTCCGTTTGATGCGCACAATTAAACGTTTTATTGCCGTTTCAATTGTTGTTTGACGTTGTTTGTTTTTTCTGTAATTGCCACTGTTGTGTTGTTGCTGTTGTTATTGTAATTGTTGACTTCTCTTTTCACAATCATTAATCACATGTTTTTACCAATTTAGCCGCTGTTAAACGTTGAATTTTCTACGTTTATCGCTACTACCGCTGCTGCTACCATTTTAAATCATAAAAGTTGACATTGTCGCCATTTTGTTCTGATTGCTTTGACAGACAGTTAATCGGATTCCGCATTGTTTGCTCTGCCAAACTACAAGTCTCTGATTAATGACAGTTCATATTTTTACGCTTTTGTTCCTTTTTTCTGCTTTTCTGCGATATTCCGTTCTGATTCGAATTCGAGCCGTGCGTTGCCTGGTAGCGACTGTGGCTCAATTTTTACGGTCGATTGATTGGCTTTTGTGAAAATGAAATGAATTAATTTTCACCCACGGGCTGCAAAACACAATGGAAATAGTTCGATGATTAATGAAACTTTAAATTTTGTCTTCATCTGTTCCGCTTATGAATGAAAATGTTTACTAACCCACAAACAATATCGAATATGAATGAATAAAGGAAAGCATGCATTCCTCCTCCTCATACTGCCAATCCGTAAACCACATATTTCCTTGCAGGGCTGAAACTTTTCGCTTTTCTATTAGAAAACGATAAGGATCTTTTCAATTTTTCCAGACAAAACCAAAAATTTATTGGAAAACTATCGTTAAAGCTGAACGCCCGCCAAAGTCATAACAATAAAAGTCATTTCAACAGCTCCTTCGGCGTTCTGAACTTCCACTGCGCTTCGATACGCAGCTTCCATCCATATGAGGTGGTATCAGCAATTTCGCAAAGTTAAGCCAAGGAATTTGCCTTGAGAAAAACTGCTTCATCCACCATTTCTGTGTTGCGCCCACTTTCACAGTCGATGTTTCTACTGCTGTTGTCATGATACTCGGTCTTGGATTCTGGTGCGGACTATGGGAGTATGGGAGGCAAGAAAACTTTCATTTCAACGTCTTATCAGTACTTTTGTTTTATTACACTTGTTCTTGTCATTGTTGTTTTTCTATTTATTTATGACTTCAGCGCTATTGTGACTTTATCGTTATGTTGTTGTTTGCTTGTTATTGTTTACTTGTTGTTGTTGTTGGTTGTGTCAACTTACATTCAAAATCTTTTGTCTTTTGTGTGTAATAATGACACCACAAGCCACGAGCCACAAGTACTCATTGTATTGTTTTCCCTCCTTAAACTGTAATATTTAACCTATGCATCGGCATCAGTATCGGCATCCCCCTCATCCCCCTCATCCACATTCATTACTTGTTAGTGTCATAATCAAAATAATGCTTATGAAGATGTCATTTTTTCGCTTCTCTCTTATCAACCAACAACTCCCACGCTTTTGCTTTTGCTTCTGGTTTTCGTTTTGTTTTAATGTTCGTCATGGAGTTTTCTTTCCATTGTTTTCGAGAAATAAAAATAAGATTCGAAGTTATCAGTGATGAAGTCTTTTATGGCCAATCTAATAAAATGTTATATGATCGAAATATAAATTTATTGTTCCACAATTGTTGGTGTTGTTGTTGTTGCAGTTGTTTCAGTAATTGTAAGAAGAATATAACGATTAAAATGTTACTAAAAGACACGAAAAAATATCTGAATGTTTAAAAAATTCTATTAAACAATACTTTCTAAAAATATTGAAAATTTTGAATTTAATTATATTTAAAAATTTCGCATTTAAAGCCCAGCATACAGCAATGATGACAGAAGCTCTGAAAGGCAGAAAAATGATGAAATAAAAATTTCGAAACTTAATTGTGCCCGCAACAGACAACTCCCTGAAATGATATATACATTCCACAAAAAAACAACAAAAAATGAACGCACATCTATATGTTGCCTGCCCATTGTTGTTTACTCATATTCTAACTAGGTCCTCCACAACCTGAAAACGGATCCCACCATATCCAACAGTATCTAAGTAATATGATTATGCAAATATTTCTCAGCATTAGCAAAGAGGTACTTTAGGTAATAATCAAAGCCCATGTTGTAGTAGAACCTGATAACTGAGATCCTCTGCCACAAAATCATATATCTGAAAATCATATATCTTTAAAATAAATCACAATTTATGTAAAAAATTGATTGATCAGCTTAGAAATGTAAATTTATTGTTGTCAAATAACGACATGACAAATTTAATGTTTCAATTAACCGTCGGAGTTTAATTAGAGTCTAATAATTTAAACTCTAATTGACGACTTGAACATTTTACCTGCAGAAGTCACTTCACATTATTTAAAGTGCCACTCCGTTATATAAAGCTCATTTCTGCTTCCAACTGACCCTTACCGAAGAGAAGACACCCAGCAGTACGAATATTTTGTAAAGCTTTAGGAGTTTTTTAATATTAAACGACAAACAAGCTCATAGTCCCTTATTCTTCCCCTAGACCAGATCAAAACTCGACTGTCAAAACAAAGGTGACTACATATGTCATCTATCTTTAAACAGAACTTATTTACTAACCGACCCTAATTGAACAGAAAACAGTTTGCCCCCCAAGTGAAAGCCAAAGCTAACATCCGACGGATATAGAAACTCCCACCTAAGTGATCTGCTCCTGCTTTAAATCAAAACTGGACAATCAAAAAATATGATACCAGGCATGTTCCTAAACCGAACCGATTTCCTTTTCCTTAGGCAAACCAATTTCGTAAAGATAATTGCATTACTATAGAAATAGTGACTCATCAAAAACCCTCTAAGTGCCTTACTACACCAAAAAGTCAAATAATTTGGACGCCCGATGCAGAAACGTTAATTACTGAATATAAGACTATAACTTGTGGTATCACCATACCTCACTACTTAGAAGACATGATTTTTTATATTGATGCCAGCAATTTTCTAGTTGGAAAGCTAATAACTCGAAAGATCTGATCTTTCATATTAATACCAACAATTTTCTAGTAGTTAATATGTTAACTCGAGGCTTTTACTGAAATCAAATGATTGATACCCATCAACAATTTCTACACATTTATTAAAAATAAATAAAATTACTTGCAATTAAATTTTTAAAATTTTAATTTTTATTAAATTTATTTATGATTTTATCTTGTAGGAGTTTTTTTTGTTTTTTGTTTACTTAAATTTATTTTTTCGGATTTTGATTCAATTCATTTCAACTTCTTCGTTCTGTTAATATTTTTAATTTAAATTACTTTAACATTTATTTTAATACAATATTTTTAAATTAATTTTAACTTTGGTTTTACTTATAAGTAAAGATAATTAATTTGTCTTTGTGTATTCTGCAAAGATTGTTTAGTTTTTATTTAATGTACTAAGTTAACGAAAATATTTATTCATGGTTCTCTATATTTTTTTAATTTTTAAAACTGTTTATAATTAGTAATTTGTATTTTTACTGTTATATGGTAATTTTTTTAATTTTTTTCGATATAAATTTTTATCAGTTTTTTATATTAAAAATATAAGCAGAGAGTAAAAAACTGATTTTTATAATTTATTATTATTTTTTTTATGTATTACAGAAAAAAGAAAATGTTTAGAAATTTATTTAAAATTAGATTTTTGTTATATATTTTGTAAGATTTGTTGTTTCTTTCATTTTTCGTATTAAAAAATAGTTAAACTAGAATTTATTTAGCCTCACACTAAACTAAACTTAAAAAATAATCAACAATTTTTTCGTTTGCTTAATTAAAATTTAAATTCAAACCGAGCAAATATTTTTTAATTTAAAACTATGAACATAAATGTACATATGTATTATATTAAATTAAATAGTATAATATAATAATAGCGATAATAGCGATAGTAATCATATAATATTTACAGTTTTCATATTTAATTGTATAAAAAAAATTATACAAACTATAGTAATTACAAAGGACAGTAGTTTAAATGATAGCTTAACTTAGAAGGACTATTAAAGTGGGTCAGAACCATGTGTGAATCTCGGTGGGGGATGAGTAATAAATTTAATTAGTTTTCACAACTTTCGGTATTTATAACAAATTAATTAATTTATTTTAAAAATGTCCCTTAAAAATGTTATAAGGTTCAGCTTAGCCGAATGAAATTGTGTTTAAATTTTAATTAAATTTTCATTTATTTTGGCACAGAAATATTTTTTGTTTACTTTTGCGAAACCAAAAATATCAAGTCAAAATAAAAATAACTAATTTTTTAAATTAATAAATAGCAAATGACTTACATTTCACAAAATAATATATACAAAAATCACTTAATTCGTTATGATAATTTAAACTATTAAAAACAATTTTTTTAGATAATTTGTCCTATGGATTAGAAAATAAGAAGATAAAGATGGAATTCATTTACAAATATTTAACTAAAAATATTTATGTTAAAAGCAACGCAAAACCCAGAAATAATAATCGTCTAAAGATTCAACTCATTCGATTTTAATCTGCTGTCCGTACGCACTTCCTGCTTTGTTTCAATGCACTCTCTCAGCAATAGTTCAGTCAATTTCTAGCGTAAAATTTTCTTTGGTAGCGTTTACAGCCGCTATTATAGCTGCTGCTCATGCCTGAAGCGCTATTTTAGCTTGACGCACCTAGTGGATTCTTCATATGGGCGGCAGCAGCCTGTACGCTGAAAGGTGAACCACCACCGTTAGTTGTCTGTGGACCATTATTGTTGTTGTGATCGCCAGTACGTGACACTGCACCCGGTCCATTTACAACGGATCCACCGCCTAAAAGTCCACCCCCACCACTAGTGGGTGAGCCTTGTCCAATAGAGCTGGCGTGTCGTTTTAGCATAGGATGATTTGCCATTGAAGCAAATACTAAACGTTCTTCGTAATCATATTCGCAAAGTATTTTATTTTCGCACAAGTAAAAGCGATCGCCAACACAGAATCTAAAATGAAAATTTAAAAAAAAAAATAAGGGTTAATTTTATAAATATTTAAATCTAAAGTTTTCAACAAAATCAAAAATAAAATCCAGTAAATATGGTAACTAATGGCAACTATGAACTATGTATTACTTTGTTTAAGGCAGTAACCAAGAGAAAGAGCCAAACAGCCATGAAAATAACAATTACAACTACTTTCATTGTTTTCCACCCAAGGCAGAGATTTCCGAGAAGCTAAAGTTAGCAACCCGCTAAAATAAAGCGACCAGCAGACATTAGGACTATCGAATAAAGGTGAGATTGTCTCTCATCGTGGGCTTCTTAATATCAGATGAGGATAGGAGTTCACGGCATAGAGTTATTTTCCTTACTCAGATCGAAAAGAAAAACTTTCAAAGAGTGATGTAACGAAAGGGAATTTGTTTAACCGAATTACCTTAGTAAAACGCTATAAAACACTATGAAATCGAATCACTTCTGAAGCGATTTATTACCGACAATGGAAAATGGAAGATCGCCAACAATATCCTACGCAAGCAATGATGCTCAGAGGACGATGACCCTAACAAACGACTTCAAAGCCTGGATTGACGGCAAACGAAGTTATGTCAAGTGTCTGGCGAAATTGAAAAAAAAATTGCATATTACGAGCTGATCCAGCGTGGTTCATTTGGTCTACTATTGCTCATAACTCGACTGTTTTGATGCATCGTATAGCTCGGACTTTGCACTTTCTAATTGCCATTCGTTTCGGTCTTTGCAAAACTCTAATAAGGGTAAAAAATTGACAAGCTGAAGAACCGCTGAAAATCATTTTGCCAAAGTTTTCGCTAATGAGACACAAAAGTTCTACACCAAGCTATCCAACCCACTTATGGTAGTCGCTTTAATCTAAAACGTATTGTACTGGTGCTTTCCTTATAAATTATGTAGTCAAATAGCCAATAAATGCTAATAAAACAGCAATTCCAATAGCAATTTTACATACAAAAAAAACCCGAAACGGTATTGTTATTGCAATTTGTCTGTTTCTTCGTTGTTGTTGTTACATCTGCTTCTTACAAAGTAGATGTAAATCCTTTTTTAATACTTCGGCAAATAATACCCAAAATAGCACTTAAAATTTTATTTTATTAAAATTCGACAAAACCAACAACAACGAGCCAAACCAAATAACAAACACAAAAATACAATAACAACGCATAATGGCGTCATAAAATTGTTGTTGTGACAATAACAATATGAGAATTTAGTATGCAAACAACCCTTTTTCCATTATTTTTTTCTCATCACTTTTGTGAGGCAGTAATTTTGTGTGTAGGCGACCTTTTCTTTTTCAACTGGTATCTTACATACATCACAGTTCACTCACTCCACTCAAACCACTCCTCACCCCTGGAAACGCTAATATGAAAATCGTTGAATTCATTTTGTTTGGCCAATTCTTGAAATGTCACTCAAGAGATTTTAAACGTCAGTGCAAATTCATGAGCGCAGTCCGTGTTTGTCAGTGCACTACACATTTATTTCAATATCCGTTTCCGTTTTGTATTCGATTTATACAATATTTTTATTCTTTCAGTTTTGCTTTACATGTGGAGTGAAAAGGAGTGTGGTTTTGGTCAGGCGGAAAAAGAAAAACATAATGTTATATATTTCTCTATGCATTATTAATCTGTTGCTACTTTGTAGTGGAACGGATATTGGATTGGGATAGGGAAGCGGGCGGTATTGCATGCATACACATGCACTTTTAACAATTGGCATAAAATATTTAAATTGAAGGCGAATTCATTTGCATTTTTGAGAATTTGTTTAATTTTGGCATTTTCATATTTTTTCGATTTGAATAAAAATATTTATTTATTGTTTTTCTAGAATTTCTAGTGTTTTTTGCTTCTTGTTTTTGTTTTTAAGGTAAACATTATTTATTTAAAGCAAGTGTCCTAAAGCACAATGGAGAATTTGAATCCAGCTGCACACAATGTACACAACAGCAGCAGCGGGAGAACTGCGGGAATACAGCGGCAGAAGTGGATAAGGCAGTTGTCACCGCGTTGCCAATACCACAAACAAATGAAGCTAATCAATTTTTAAAAAATTAATTCAATTTCCAAAAAATCAGTGAAGCTTACAATTTACTCGAAACGACTGTAGTTAGAGGGGAAGGGAGTGTAAACAATAAAATGGTAGCAGTTTTTTAATTTTGTTTGGTGATAAAACGGAAATGTGACGTTTGTGTTAATTTAACATGCGGGCCTTCACTCGCAGTACCAAATCGAAAAAATTAATAAAAAAAAAACAAAAAAAAACAAAAAAAAACAAAAAAAAACCGAAAATTGGTTTAAAAAAATGGAAAACTTTTCATTTGTTTTACATCCTTTTGCGCTTTTTGTTTTAATTTTGTTGTCGTAAAGTTTACATAATTTCCTGTCGTCATCGATATTGGCGCTGGATGTGTTGATATGAACGTCCGAAATGAAGTCCGACGGTTGTGGCTTGCCGACGATGCGACGTTATTTCAGTTGGTCTTTTTTTTTTAATATTTTGAATCAAAAAAAAAAAACGCATCTACGCCCAAAGCTACAATTTTGTATTCATTTGCCGGTGGTTCCCGGTTTTTAAACGTTTTGCAACATTTTTACTATTTCAATTTAAATTCCTGTTTATTTGAGTGTGAACGAGAACAGCGACGACGGATGTTGGAATTGTTGTCGCGCACATGTTGATATGTTAACCAAACCGAAATCCACCTAACCCTTTAAATGGACAACGAACGGTGTACAGGTGCAGACTTCAGTGCTCTCTTGAAAAAAAACCATCCACTGATTTTAGCTGAAAATTTTGTTTAATAAGATAAACAAATTCTTTCATTTCATTTCCTTTTATTTTATTTAAAGTCAAGCAAAATTAGTTTCACACCGCCACGTGACTAATAATTGTTATATAGAAACGGATTTCAAGTTCAAGTAAAATAAATAAATTTGTATTAAGGTGAACTGAAAGTGGCCAATTACTTTTTAAGAGTATTATTTGAGACTACAACGTATTGAAATGCTTATTAATTAAAATAAAATCAAAAGTAATAAATGAACTTATCAATGATATTCGTATTTGCTAACATTCATACTTGAACATGCACGCATACATAAATTATATACAACAGCTGCAGCGACAGCAATGAAAATGAAAGAGTAAATATGAAAGAAGGAAAAAAGAAATGCCTTTAGAATTAAGAAAAATATATAAAGAAAGGTTTCCTATACAGCATGACTGTCCTAACCAGACAAGATAGCGGGCCAATACAAATCACTGAATACGTTGGAGGGCCACAGAAATAAATAAATGCGTTCATCATTATAATAAAATAATAAAAACACGGCGATAATGTTAAATTTATTTTTATTGTCTTCATTAGTTTATCTTTCACAATTCTATATACTATAATAGTATATCAACATTATTAATATTAGTTGTTGCAATACGAAAAATATTTTATTTTTAATGTGATGACCTATGGCACTGCATACGAGTTTTTTGAACCTATTGTACAAAGGCATGTGTATATACTAAAGTCTTTAGTAAGTCTTTCGTTAATAATTAACGAAAAGTGTAATGATTTATTTAAAACATTTTAATTCATTTATTTCGGATGCCATAAAAATAAAATAATATAATGTTACGAAAATATAACAAAAAAAAGCTGCCTAAATGTAGTGGATTAGAAACATGTCACGGGCCGCATGATGCCTGTAGGCCGTGCTTTGGACAGCTATAGAATATTACTCAAAGAAAATGTTCAAAGCTAGTGAAGATATATGTCTTTATTATCTCAGACATAAAGCACTTACTATGTACTTCATAAAAACAAAGCGATAAATCATTTTTGTACATACAGTAAGAGCTCTCTTAGGTACGTGGACATCAATGGAACTAGCAATTGTTTGCACGGACAATATTGCATGGTTAAGACAGATATCCATTTATTAGAACTTTCTTAGTATTATTTAATATATGGTACTAATTAAGGCTTGCCATATTAATTCACGTATCTGTATATCTGTATTTCAGCATCGAACACAAAGTCATTTAAATAAATAAGAGTTTAGAGCATAAAGTATGGACTAATGAAAGAAAAAAAAAATAACAAATTAGCCTGTAGACTCGATTTCAGACAAATTTAAGTTATTTAAATACTTTTACAGCTACTAATTTAGAGTGCTGCTTTTCACAAGCCACTCAGTTTGATGATTATCAATGGTTTCATATGGTAGAAGTCTATGTTTCTGAGCCACTTAACTGCGATGCATCCTTAATGAAATCGAACCAAGTACTCTTTTTCGAAGGTGGTGAAACAGCATGGATTATACCAACATGGTGTTTAGTAATTTGTTTAATTTCTTGTTAGATGAGAATACTCGCTCACTATAACTTGATTTATTTATTTTTAAGATTGTGGACTTATAAGAAAATTATAATGAGTGTAGTTTGTAGTTTCCTACTTTAAGAAAGGAACTGTTTACTTCATTGATTGCGTAAGTAATTAACTAGACACCAATGGGCCTATTTTGAAGAAAGAAGGAAACTACTTATGCATCATGACATAGACTTATGGCAATACAAAAATGTTGGCTACTGAATTTGGTCCTTTATATTACTCTTACTTTTTGTACCTAAAACAGCTTTTATCCATATTAAAAAGCTTGTTCATCTTCAAATCTATCACATTTACTCATATTATCAATACTGTAGTTATATAACATAATATATACATAATAAAGATAATTATTTTTTAAATTTTTTTTTCTCAGGATATTTTAACTGGTTACATTGCTGCACGATCTAGCCTTATTCTTGATCAAATTTTTTTCTCTATTGATTTACTACTACTTCAAAATGTACCCTACACTCAGTACACTTACCTATGATTACATTGTTGGCATGCAAAACACTCCAAGTGGTAGACATTTGTTCGAGCTCGCATAACCATTTCAAAAGCCGGAATGACTTTACTGCAAGCAGCACAATACCCAGTGTTACCAAATAATCTAGAAAAATACAAATAAAACAGAACTTTTTTAATAAATAATTACTTCAAAGTTGGTAAAAACTTATTTGATAACAAATAAGATGTCGAATCCCAGAACATTTGAACTCACCTTAAATAATCACGTTTGCATAGCATTAAATTGCCTTTTGTGTAAAGTGTGGAGCCCACCTCACCCAGACGACAATCACAGCAGCCGCATTTGAGACAGTCCTCGTGCCACAACATATCGAGCGCGCGCAGCAAAAAGCGGTCTTGGATATGTTTGCCACAACCGGCGCACAGTTGGCTGCCGTTGTTGTTGTTGTTGTTGGCAGCAGCCGCAATGGTGCTATTGGCGTTGGTGCCGTTAGTGTTGTTGCCGTTCGGCGGGTTATTGGAACCCGTATTGGGCTCTGTTTTGGTTATGTCCATAGTCATCATCTGCAAAGCAAAAAAAAGGGACAAAATAAAGTAAAATATAAGAAAAATGCGATAAAAAAATGAGAATGAAAAAGATTTTTCATCTTAAATTTTGTTTTTTATATTTATTTGTTTATATTTTTACGTTGTTTCAAAAGAAATAAATCAGTGCGATATAAACACGCGAAAAAAGCGCACGATTTATTACAGCAAAAGTCTAACATTCTAGGCTTAATAAATTAGCTGAAAGTTGCTGTTTGAAATTTTAAAATTGTGAAATTGTAAAAAGAAAATAAATTTCCCATTTTCCGCAGCTTATCGAGCAATCATAAGAATAATTACCGCCACTTGACTTCGCTGAATGGCCGCTGCTGACTCGTGTAAGAATGAAAAGGGTTGCCATTATAACACAAAGTTAGTATGTAAAAAAAAAAAAGAAAGCATCGAGATGCACAAAGAACTCCCGTCTGAAGAAAGCAATAAAAACAAGTGAAAACTTTTGCACGCATTTTCCAAAAAAAAAAAAATAAATTAAATGAAATCCTAAGGGCAAACTTCAATGGAAAAACTAGCGTTAAACGTGCCGCACTCGAACTTTTTTTATTGCAAATTAGAAAACGTGATGAAGGTTACACTGGCGCGTATAATCGCCAAAGAAAAAAAGGAAACGTTTTTGTGAAACATTTTAAAATATTATTCACCAAAAAAAAAATTATAAATTAATAGAACTCAACAAAATACTTGAATCCTTGAGCCTTGGACATTTACCCACTGCACTGGACGGTGTAGGAAAAACTACTTTTTTCTGTCAGACTGACTTAGTGTTTTCATTGTTGTTGTTGTTGTTGTTGTTATGTTTGTTCACAATTTAAACATTGTGGCAGCACTCAAGTAAATCCCTTTGAAGTGCGCTCGAGCACAACAAGGATATTTTGTTGCAAAATTATTTGCTTGGATTTTGTTTTAAATATTGTAAAAAACAAGTCCGCAAACAAATGGTCAACATTCGGTGTTGGTTTGGTCTTTCAGAGTCATATATCACTGGCTTTTGCAGCCACATTTCTATTTTTCCGTTTTATTTTATTTTATTTTTTTTCCTGAAGGAGCGTCCTTCTATAATCAAAAACTCAAACAGCAACCAAACTAAAAAGAATAACAGATACCGAAGCAATTATTTGTGGGAATCGTAAAGCTAGTCTGTTTTTCTGATTGAAATTGTGATGTACATTCAAGCTTTAAATGTTGTGTTGTTAGCAATAACTCCAGATTTAAGTGAATGCAAACAATTTTGAGGTATTCTCTTCACTTAACATTGACAAGTCCAAGCCCACTATAATATGTAATCATCAGAGCACTCAAAGGAAATTTTAAAATATATATATACCATTTGATCAAAAAAGAACGAGAAGTTAAAAAAACACAAAATTTTAATTTTTAATAATTTTCTTTATTATCGCCTTCAAAGTACTCTCCTCCTGTGGTAATACATGCATGCCAACGCTTGATCCAATTTTCCATACAAGTTTTATAGGCCGCCGAAGGTATGGTCTTTAGTTCACGCAGCGAATTCTCTTTTATGACCTCTATGGTCTCAAAACGCGCCTATGGTCCTCCCAATGGCAATTTGAGTCGGGGGGAAGTGGAAAAAGTCACACGGGGTCATATCTGGAGAGCACGGTGCTTGGTTGATGATATTGGTGGAGTTTTTGCCAAAAACTGCAACACAACGCTGTGTGAGCCGGTGCGCTATCGTGGTATAAAATCCATGAGTTGTCCTTCCATAAATCCGGCCTCTTTTTGCGAATGGCCTTACGAAAACGACGCATAACGGCCAAATAATACTCCTTATTGACCGTTTGACCATTTGACCGTCCGGAAGGAATTCATAGTGCACCACACCACGAATATCGAAAAAAACAGTCAGCATAACTTTGATTTTGGACCGACTTTGGCGTTCTCTTTTCGATTTCGGCTCACTCTCGAAGCACGATTCGGTCGAATGTTGTTTGGTGGGCATGTCAAATTCATAGACCCATGTCTCATCACCAGTTATGATGCGTTCGATGAATGTGGGGTCACTATCTGCGTTGGAAATCATCTCTTTGGCCACATCACAACGACGCTTTTTTTGAATGAAATTCAGCTTTTTTTGCCACCAGCCGAGAAGCGACGCGTTTCAAACCCAAAACATCAGTTAAAATGTGTTCGGCCGATCCATATGAAATGCCCAACAATACTGCAATCTCTCTAATCCGTTCACAACGATTTTCCAACACGATCTGCTTCGCTGATTAAATGTTTTCTTCAGTAACAGAAATTGTTGGGCGGCCAGGGATCTCATCATGTCTTTGAACCTTTTAAACCATTCGTATACTCATGGTTGCAACACACACAAATATCCAAAGGCCTTTTTTAACATTTTTTAACAGTTTCAGCACACTTGAATCAATTTGCAACACAAAATTTGATGCACGCAAGTTGTTCTAATTTTTGATCCATTATAAAAATCGCCACACGAAAATTTTTCAACTTCTTTCTATAGACGCCAAATAAAAACTAATCGTACGATATGCGTTAAACTTTGACAGAATGTGTATAATAGTGTTGTGCCAGCGTGAAAATAAAAAAATTTACCGATTGGATAAGCAAGGGAATTCAAAAAAAGAACGAATAAGTTCTTTTTTGATCACAAGGTATATATGTAATAATAATAATTTCTATATATTATGGACAAAAGGAAGTTATTTAATTGATAATGCCTGACTATAGTCGTCTTTTTAAGAATTTTAAGATCTACGCTTTAATATAATTATTGTTTATAGTTTGAGATAAAAAATCATGTAATGAATCGTCGTATCCTTACTCCTTTTAAGCAATAATTCACTATGCAGAATAACATTTCTCTTATGCTTTTATCCACAACTGATTTTATAGAATTTTTTATTTTTATTACTAATACTTATTAAAGTATTAAAGTCAAATTTCACAAGCATACAATTTTAACTTTTATATTTAATTTAAAAACATTTTATTCCAACATTGTGCACAGAAGAGGCTTTCGAACATAAATTAATATCAACTAATAACTTTTACAACATAAAACTATTCCCACCTTGTAGCTACATAGCGTATTCTTTATATAAAGCCGTCTTATATTTAAATGTGTGCATACTTTTGAGCGCATTATATTATATTGCATAAACATATTCTAAAGAATTTTATAGCAAAAATTCTAAAAATACGAAATGAACGATAATGAATTTTAAGTGAATCTAAATGGTATGTTGTACTATTTTTTTAGAAACTTCATTAAAATAAAAAAAAAAAAAAACATTTCATGATAAAAAAGTCCGCACAGGATTGGGCTCGTCCGGGAATTGAACCCGGGACCTCTCGCACCCGAAGCGAGAATCATACCCCTAGACCAACGAGCCGTTAGCAAGTACCTAACATAAGTACACATAAATTTTCCATAAATAAATTTAGTAACTTAAGCATGCGAAATAGAATTAAAAAAAAACCAACAAAAAATATTTTGTGTAAAAAAAATTAAGCATAATTGAAATTCTATTATGAAATGAATTTCTTTCTTCGTAATGATTTCTGCTATTATCTGTTCCCACTCTGCTGCCTACTTTTAACCATTTGCGCACATTCATTGTTGTGGGTGCAGTTAGAACACTGTCAATATGAACTGTTCTCAGTTCGTATTTTTACTAATATTTGTTGTTAAAGCTTTTGCGCTTGGTTTTATCAATTTTTCGAAGTTCAATTTTCAAGAACGAAAAAGAAGTTCTAAATTCTGTTCTAAATATCTGCTGAAGTCATGACATGCATTTGACAGTGGTGATCATCTGGCCCTTTTAGCTCAGTGGTAGAGCACTGGTCTCGTAAACCAGGGGTCGTGAGTTCAAACCTCACAGAGGGCACAATACTTTTTATCTTTTTTTCTTAACCTTTCCGTTGTTTATAACAATTATAATTTAATAAATGAACATTTAAGACTTTGAAAATTATAAAAACATAATTTTCCTTCACAGTATTTTTTGACAAGATAAATTGACCAAGTCCATCCCTAATTTGTCTATCTATTCTCTGCGGGTGCATTTCACTAGCTATCAATCGTTTGTCTATGTATATTTCTATGTTAACAGACTGATTAATATGCAAACCAGTCATTCAGTTTTTAAACTAATCGAATAATCTCGTTGTATAAGGACTTTTGATGTGTCCTAGCAGATATGTGGCAATGGATAATTTTTAGCTAATTAAATAATATTATAGACTCTTGATGATTCTCAGCATTTAAAATTGATAAATGGATTAAATTGTATGCCAGCTTAATCTCGCCTTTGAGTTAATGGAATACAACTTTACTTTCGGACTTTTGGTATGTACTATCAGTTAAGCTAACAAATGAACTAAAACAAATGACTGTCTGTTTATCTGTGTATCTTATAACAAACTAAATCGTCTTTTAAAAACGGTCTTATGTGTTAACTTGACACGTGTTCAAGGGTTCAAATTTGGCAGAATTCAATACTTAGCACTTGTAATTCCAAAATTTTATACAGACAATTAAATCAATAGATGCTATCAGAGATCACCGATGATGGATGTTTGTCGGAATTTAAAACTTAAAATTAAAAATGTATACATTCGAATTGGATTTTTTGTGATAGGAAACAAAATGTTTAATTATAAATAAATTATAGAATAATATTTTCATTTTTTAGTACGGATATTACTACTAGAACAAACTAAATTCAAACTCATAAAACATACATATGTAAAAAATTAAAAAAAAATATTTCAAACTTTATTTTAATAAAACATGAATAAGGTAATTTTAAAATTTAACCTGACATTTTGTCAATAAAAAGTGCGCATAAATTTACTCGTAAAACCACAGGCCCCAACGTCAAACGCTGAGTGACTCGGGAACGCAGATGCGCCAATAACTTGCGGCAATCCAGCGGAGTTCGCGTTGATAATGTCAAATATTTGCAGCTCAACTTTGG